ATTTCTAATTCTAGCAATTATTTCATTTTCAAAATAGGTTATCCGTAATATTTTTTATTTCAGCAAAGCATTTTCCCACGGCAAGTTATTGTACGGTGGCTGTGAGCTGCTCTTTTTGGACGGTCTCCTTGCTTAGGACTTTTGCATTGCTCATCAGGTCTGTGTGGAAACCACTAAGAAGAATAAACTGCCATAAGGGTATTTTACCTAACTGTGTTAGTTAACTAGTTTAGCCCTCATTATTAACTGTGATTCAGCAATCCAAAGCAATATTTCAGTTGTGAAACAGCGATGTAAAAGCAAGGTCTTGTGTTCACATTGAAGTTTTCCTCATAATTTTCACACCAGTATCCTTCTCGTGATTTTTGAAACTTACAAATTCTGTTGTCCGTTAATTTGTCCATTAGTTTTCGTTTATGGAAGAGAGTGAGACGGCATTAGCAATGCATAGGATGAGCCAACATACATGTATATATATATTTGTAGTGAGGCAGGTCAGAAGTGACAAAGGATTGATTTGCTCAGAGCTGACCTCAATTACTGGTCTGCTGCAAGGGATGTGCTAGGGCTAATTTTGCAGTAAGTGTCATGACACATGGAAGTGGTAATACGGGATGGGTTAACTAATGGGAAAATACGAAAGAGCGAAGAATGTGTAGAGAGGCAAACCCAGTAACCTCTCAGTCTCAGCTTTTGGCTATGCTTCAAAAACCCTCTGAAACTCTAAAGCTGAAGCCCTTGACACTATACTCAGCATAATTCAGGTTTTGTGACAAAAGTCGAATGCTTATCCAAAATCTCAGTATTTGCTGCAAACCTTACCAAGCTAGAAGGCTGTCTCTTCTTCAAAGGTTGGACCTTCATTGATGCTCTTCTCAGTCACGGATCTCTCAGGAGACAGGCTCAGAAGCTCTCAGGAGACAGGCAAGTGCTCTCCTTCATGCTTTGCTTCAGTCAGGAGCAGCGCAGGAACTCTTCCTGATGCTACTTACACAGTGATGGGATTTCTTTTTCTTTCTGAATGATCTAGAGAGAAGCATAAATTATAGCCATGGGCTCTATGTAAATGAGTCAGAAATATTCCTGAGTAGATGGAGCAGTTTTATAACTTTTGTGAAGCAGAACAAACTTGTGATGCTGCAGTCACACAGCTAAAAAAGGACTAAAATTCTTGCAGTCACCCTGAGAACATACCACACATACTTTCACACACAAAAAAATAGACATATAACCTTTTCCCCTTGCATTCCTTCATTTTCCCTACTATTTTACAAAGTATGTTTTCATAAAGGATAAAGCATGTTATGAATTTGTTACTCAGTTCAACACGTTGTCATTTTTTCTTGCATTACCTCCAACCAAGTACTTCTGCTTTTTAAATTTTCAATGAGCAACTAGGTGAGGTTTCTGTTTCTGGCACTGTGGTAGTCCTCTGAAGGCCTGTCACTGGCTGGAACCTGGCTTCACATATAATTAGAAGCACTGTGCTTCTAAATACTAAATTTGACCACCAAGATTCAGAAGCCCAATTCTATTATTTAAAGAAACTACATGGTTGCATTTGCTGTCCAGGTGGTGACCACAGTAGCTCACTGAAGTATTGGCTGTGCTTAGGGCTTCACACAGTTGAGCCCTAATTTACATTGCCATATATTCCACCATCTTCTTGGGCTGCGTGACAATGTCTAACCACCCTGTCTGGTTTTAAAGCTTTTCGAGATCTGTGTTGCTGATATTAATTCTGTTTATATTTACAGCACAACTGAGTCTCCAATTTACTCAAATCAGTAAGACAGCAATAGACTCCCTGTTACAAAGGAACACACAGTACAAAGAGCTCAGCTGGTGGTTGAAATATTCCAGTCATAAAAGTACTGCTAATTTAGCTAGGCAATAAATACATTAATTGAGAATATTTATGAAGATTTGTTTGTGCAGATGGCCAAAGACAATAAGAAAATGATATTTCCTTACTACACGAGGAGCTCATGTTTATCACATGCTAGTATGGCAGGTATTTACACTGTTTCCTTTCAGCATGTTACCTTTAGATCTCTAAGTTAGGGGCTTGGACCCAATTTTATCTCATCTGACTTAGGCATTTAAGCAAGCTGGGTAAATCAGAAAGCAGAGCTGTCCTATTTCCCCTAAGTAATCAAAGCAGGGTCGAGAGAGAGTGAGACAGAAGCAGAGAGGTTGGGGGTGGGGGGGGAGAAGAACACTTGTGAGATAAAGCTTTTGTGCCTTGCCATCTGAGTTGCCTTCTGGAGATTAGATACCTAATTCTCCATTGATCAGGGTGATTCAATTAAGTGCCTGATGTCATGCGGGAGGTATCTACATCACCCCTTAGAGTAGCCCACCTCTGTCCACAAATAGAGAAGGGCCTTCTAATTTACTCATCCAAAGTCTGATAATTAAAGTAAATCTCATGAATAGCTCTCACCAAGCCAGAACTGGTAAGAGGGAAGTTGGTTTGGGATTTATCCTTACCTCTCAGGTATTTGTCTCAAGGGAATAAAAATGAGGTGGACTTTGTACTACCTGGTCCCAGTCCTGTGCTTTTGTGAAAAGCAGCTTCATTTCACACAGGAGAGGTGTCTGTGAAAAAGGCACTTTTAGACCATACGTGTGTGATTTGCTGTCTTCTCAGGCTGACTTTTGCACTGCAACCCATGGAGAGGAAACACCACTTTCTACTACTTCAGTTACCTACACGGGAAGCTCTTCTGATCATCCTGCCATTAATTTCTTTCCAAAGTATATCTAATTGCAAGATATTATTGGGCACAGTAAAAGCTGAAGCAGGCCACATGGTTCTCAGCACTATATTATTCCTAGTAGATCACATGCTATTTTATAGGGGTTGGACGGCAAGGGCACTTTCAGTGCTGCAGGGTTTAAAATCCAACCATGTCTAGATCGTTTTGCAATTTCATTATGTCCTTAAGTAGATGTACTGAATGTGACTGTAACAGTTCTGTGCCTTCCATCACCACATATTTTTGGGCAAATCATCTATATTCTGCCAATGATATTCCCCCCCCCCCCCCGGCAAATCCTTTGTTGTGCAGCATTCCCACTCTTTTTTAACCACACTCATAAAAGCTCAATCAACCAGTTGTGCAACGGTATCTCTCCCACTCTAACCTCTGGTCTGGAAGGTTCTCAGAAAGAACACATATGCACTCTGAATTACATTCTGTCATTAAACAGTATTTTTATTACTTTTTTTTATCTCACAGGTTTTCTATAACATAAAAATTGAGACAGAACTTGAGTTATTCATAATATTTGTCCTGGAGATAAAATAAACTACAATACAGCTAAAGAGCTCTAAAATTCTGGGCATGTGATTTTACTGTCTTCCTCGTTACTCATGTGATGTGTTGAAACTGAATTTGGAGGAAATGAAAGTCAGGACTACTTGAAACTGAGTGCAAACAGTGACTCAAAAGGAAAATGGATTAAGCTGAGTGTTTTGACAACTTTTGAGGTAAAATTTGGGTCTAATAGGGAATGCAAAAACACTGACTTTCTGTTCCTTGTGCTGTCTTGAAAACAGTGTCGAAGAAAGCATTAGCACACAAAGCTTCCTCACAAAGAAAGGCTGGCAAAAATTCAGAAGTCATTATTTATTCAAGTTATCATTAATTCAGAAACATTTTCTGATTTTTTTTTCTTCTTTGTTGCATAGTGGTTAGCAAAGTATCAGAGGTGGAGGAAGAAATATTGCGTAACTGTGCTGAAGAGAGCCAACAACCACTTCAGTTCAGTGCCATGCAGGCTGATGCTGATTTAACCTCCCTTATTGTTCCTAACATTGTTCTCGATCATATTAAAACATGATAGCATCAAAAATGCACAGACATCTGTCACCTAATTTCTCTAAATCACTTTACAAATCTGTTCTTATTAGATACCTTTTTTCTTTCTTTTCTTTTTTTTAAGTAGTAATTGGCTGGATATTTTAATCATTCCAATGTATTCTATGTCCCAGTTAATAAAAGCCTTGCAAGAGCATGTATGTTGATCTCAAGATCATGTAATGTTGAAAGATGCAGATCTGGTTCTAAAAATTAAGCTTTTCATTATCTCTGAGCAAGAATAGCAGAAAAAGACTTTTCTGTCTTTTTTTTGAGGTACCAAAGTACACAGACCTTGACCTGAAAGGCAGTTCAAATTCATTCTCCCAAGAAGCTTTAATGACTGACCTCCAGCTGCTAAGTATAGGAGTACTGGTTTTGTAACAATTTGTATTTGTATTTGTAACAAAACCAAGTATTGATTTTGTTCTTTTTTTTAATGTGGATACTTGTTGAGTAAATGGCTTGAGACTACTCCTTTACTTCATATAAGCTACTAAGAACCTCCTAAAATTCATGCAATACATAACACATGAATAATGTGGAAGAGATTAGCACGCCCTAGCATGTACTGCCAAACCCCACTGGAGTCAAAAATGAGGAACTAACACTAACTTTCAGGTAACGACAAATCATATGCAAATAAAAGAGAAAGTATCATACTTTCTAACTAACCCACACTACCACTTATACTGTGACTTCTTTCTGAGTAATGTAGAATAATATATATCATCCTTGCTCTTTGGCTTTTCTTGCAATAAATGGTTTTGTGATTACAGAATAGAGGAACAAAAAACAAATCTAGTAGACATTCAGTTGAAGGAAATGGATCAGGTCTGAACAACCTACAGAGCCTAACAATTTCTTTCCACTCAAGACTTCAAAGAATTCCAGACACTTAACAAGACTCTGCCTACATACTTCTTGGAAGACTAATCTCAAATTGCAGTAATGCTCAAACTGAAACACCACAGTGAGAATTGTCATTAAAATTATTTTTCTTCATTGGCATTACCTTGTTGGTGGACCCTACAGTGCCAATCCTCCCCTCAAAGAAAGCCTGCTGCTTCTTATGGAAAGAAAACAGACAGATGAACAGTACTGTTATGAAACTCTCTGTTGAGCATGCAGTGTTTGACGTACTTAATTGGTTGCTTATTGTTTGTATTAGCTAAATTGTATGGTACACAGAGTACATGCATCCCTCAGTACAAACTGTGAACAGTCATATCCAAGTCACAGGCAGTCTTCTTTTCAATCACAGAGTGAGGAGTTTTCCCAGATGGCACATCCTTCACCAAAGAACTCCACAGATTGATCATCAGCAACAGTGGGAGGGAGGATTTGTAAGCAAATGGGACCAAGACAGCAGCCATCATAGGCTGATAATCTGAAGAGGCAGGTAGATGCTTTGAACCAGCTGGAAACTTGCTGCCTTTCTCTGATTAGAATGGTTAGCTACTCACTTCCTCCATCTCTTTGTTTCTCACCTTCCCCCTTATTTCCTCCCAGCTTGTTCATTCTGTGCTGTCTTTCCTTTGCCAGTTTCAGCTGGGGTGATGTGCATATTCCCCAGTTTTTCCTGTCTGCCCCTTTTCTCTGTTACTGACTGCTCTGCCTTTCCCTGGACTGCGTATCATTTCAGACGTTGCAGGCCTCCAATCTGCCATCATGCTTTTGCTAGTTTATGCACTCTTAGTTTTATCACTCCTCTGCTCACACTGAGAAAAAAAAAAAAAAAAGCATACAGGAGCAAGCAAATTAACAATTTTAGCTTCTTATTTATTTCTGGTTTTGTTTCTGAATTCTTTATTTATCTCCTATTTTTTAGCATAAAGGACAAACTACATTGGAGACACATAAAATGTTATGTTTTGGCATTAAATCACTCACAAAAGCTATTTGTTGTTCCATATAATCTTCTGACATTCATAAAATACCTTAAACAAAACTCAGTCCCTTCCTTCTTACATCACACCTGCTTACTTCTCAAGCAAACAAATTGTATTTCCAATGGTCCTAAGTGAATAACTTCTTTGGCACAAACAAAGGGCAAATACAAAGGTACAAAATTACAGTTGATGAGGCTGTAAGAAGTAGTAATTCAGGGAAAAAAGGCAAGGTAGAAAAAGAAGGCAGAGATGTGCAAGCAGGTGAGGTGCATACTTTATTTGAACAAGCTCATCTAAATGTAATAGTGTCTGAAAGTCTTAAAAATGAGTTTCCAGAGGCAAGATTTTTGCTTGGTTCTGACCAAAGCAACCCGAAATGTTGTTTTTTAGAAATGTTATTTTCCCAACAAGATTAAAAATAGAAGAACAAATTGTTTCAGGGAATTCTCCACTGAATTATGCCCCATACTTTGTTATTCTGGTGAAGGCAGTTAGAGGAAAAGAAAAAAATTTTTTTTTTTCACCCCAAGAAGACTTAATACTTTGAACTAAAGAGGAAGAATATTTCCTACAAATATCTAGCTTATGAAATGCTCAACTTAGACTCTAATATTGAAAGCTTTTCACAAGAGCCACAGCTTCTTTTAAGCTGACCTGTTCCTACAAATTGCTCCTGAAATTTGAAGTTGCTACTACAAGGGGTGGATGAAAAGAAGACCTCAGTAACATATGGTGCAACCTTTGCTTTCCAGGCTTGAATTTTACTGCTAAGACTTTTGACTTCCATAGCTGTCACTTCCCACCTGAGCTGTGAGCTTGAGTCTGGGTTTCACTCTGGCAGAAGCTCCAAAGTTGGCAAGATGGGTAATGAAGACAGAACCGTGAACTTGATGATTTTGCAAGATTTCTTAGGGTTTCTTTTTGTGTTTGTTTTTTTTTTTTTAATATCAAAACTTTTCAGATATGTACCATGCTGGTCATTTCTACAAGAAATAAATAATAATAATAATAATAGCCAAACCACCCACTCTCTCTCCCCATGCTTTTAAGGGTGCAGAGAACCAAGTCTACTGCTTTGTCAAGACACAACTTCTCCCAGTGTATGATTTTCCTTTGGTAGACATAGATGACTAAGAAGGATTCAGCAAGAAATGCAATTAGATTGTCAATAACAGACTTCATCAATAGGAAATAAAGGTGCAAATACTTTATAGAGGTTATTTTTGCCTGCTTTCAACAATCCACAGAAAAACAATGTGTTATTGGTGATTTGATTTACCGACCTACTTTGCAATATTCTGCAGAAAGCTGCCTGTAGACGTTGAATTAGATTCTTTCAGGTGATTCTTTCAGGTGATTCTTTCAGGTGATTCTTTCAGGTGATTCTTTCAGGCTTTTCTTCTTGTGCGCATAAACATTTAAATATGATACTGACGCACACACACAAAATCTGTTTCAACACTAATTGGTGGCAAAACTTTATTAATGCAAGATCTGGTCTTTGCAAATTGGTAGAAGTGTCTGCAAACAAGAAAGATGTTATAAGCAAAAAGCAGTAAAAGACTTGGCAGTGGATAAAACTACAGCTATCTTTAGACTTCTCCTTTTAAAGCTTATGTGGGCATTAAAATGTGATGGAAGCTGCAGACCCTTGCCTTACATCTACCTAAGAAAGCTGTTAGTTCCAACCTCCATGCCTAAGTATCCTTTAACCTGTGATACGATTTCCCTAAGATTACATCTGAGGGACAGGGACTCACTGCTATTGTTATTTTACTGAAGGAGAACTGAACTAAAAAGGAGTTGAGTAACTTCTCCATGGGCCTGCAGGGAGTTTCTATCAGGGTAGATATTTGAAGCTAGGCTTAGTGCTTTAAATACTAGGTCATGTTTCTCCTGCTGGACTCAGAGTTACCACATCTTCACAGCTGTGTGGGCAGAAGAAATCACTGTATTTGTCCCTGGAGCAGTGCATGACAGAAGTGTTCCAACTAACACTGGAGGCAGGAAGCAAAATAAAAATCTACCAAATGCATAGCATAGCAGGAAAATAATTAAATAAAAGAATGCTTTTTAAATTCATGCCCATAACAGTAATTTCAGGTATTGCTTAGAGCAGTAGTTCACACTGGATACGACAGGAACAAAAGATAACATTGGAAATGTGATTTTTAAGTAGATTATGTACCCTTCAGCATGCCAGTACTATTGTACTGTTCAGTTTTTCCAGTGACGCTTTCCAGGAAGCGTCTATCCAAATCAGTGCATTCACTCAGCATTCTGTTCAGAGAACCCTTCATAGGCTGGTCTTGCTTCCTGCCAGAATCAAGCATTGCAACAGCTCCACTACAAACACCTCTTAGATTTTTTAATTTCAAAAGAACAATAAATAAATAAAATCCTCTTTCACACAGCTCAGCTTTTCAGTCTCAAGTCCTCATCCTTCTTTATAAAGTCAGAAGTTAAATGTCTCCCCTTCTTCTGACTTGGAAGCCTATTTAAATGCAGAAGCTTGAACTTGGGTGTCAGGGCTGTGTCCTAATATCTGTATATAATTTCTTTATGAAGCAGGACCATGTGCTCCTCTAGACCTAAGTAAGGCTGATAGACTCTCATACGTCACCTGGGTCATCATATAAGCTCTTCTGCAAACACAGACTCTTGTGTCTCATTTGGAAGGCTCCATGGGATATCATACCTGTCACCTCAAAATGTGTACCAATGCACTACAAGAAGTTTGACAAAAATCAAAGAAAGTAAAGCAAGATGTTAAAGTGCTGCACAATGGATCAGATCCAGAGTATGAAGTTTTTTCTAAACTAGTGAAGTAAGGTCTGTGGTCTCATTATTTGACTGTTGCCTCTGCTATATTTTTCTGTTTTCTTTCTGTAAATAGAAGGATGCTACTAACAGCCATATAACTCATTCTGGTTTATGACCTAGTGGAAGAAGTCAGCTGTAATACTTTATAGCACCAAAGCAGAATATTTTTGCATGTGGTTCTGTTACACTGATTATCCACACTATAAGAACCATAAATCAATATCTAGTACAACTTAAAACATTTCAAGGTAAACAATTACACATTATTTCTCTCTGCAAAGAGATAAAAAGAAGTCAGAAATGCCTCTGCATTTGATCTGCAAGGCATTTAATTTTAGCATCAATAAACATAAAAGAATTTCCTTAATTTATTTCTTCTGATTTATATAACTCTGTGTGTGTGTGCGCATATATGTATATATTATATATAGAACACGTATTTGAACAAGAAATACAGCTTTATTTTCTTTCACTGACATCTATGAGAGAAGATATTTGCCAGGGAAAAGTGGTAAGGTAACAGTCTGAAATAAAGCACGAAGACTAAAAGCTTTGAAAATAGGTAACTTCTGGTAAGGTCATTTTAGATTAGAAGAGACAGCCTACCTTCCCAAAGCCTCCTGAGGCTCAATGTAAAACAAATAATTTCCATGAAGCAACCAGGCAATTATCACTTGCAATGCCATCTCTCCAACCATGGTTATATGTACAGAGTCAGAATTTATCTACAGTGCAGTCATGAAGTCAGGATTGCATTAGCTATAGATATGGTAGAAGTAAAGATGAGTATCAGTTGATGTCCTAGGTTACTGAAATGAGGCTACAGCAAGGGTCAAATGTTACAAAGGCACAGAACCATAGAATCATAGAATGCTTTGGGTTGTAAGGGACCTTCAAAGGCCACCTAGTCCAACTCCCCTGCAATGAGTCAGGGACATCTTCAACTCGATCAGGTTGCCTAGAACCACATCCACCCTGGCCTTGAATGTCTCCAGGAATGGTGCATCTATCATCTCTCTGGGCAACCTGCTCCAGTGCTTCACCACCCTTACTGTAAGAAATTTCTTCCATGTATCCAGCCTGAATCTCCCCTCTTTTAGTTTAAAACCATCACCCCTCATCCTGTCACAACAGGACCTGCTAAGTCTTTCCCCATCTTTCTTTTAAAGAACTGAAAGGCTCCAATAAGGTCTCCCCAGAGTCTTCTCTTCTCCAGGCTGAATAACTGCAGCTCCCTCAGTTGTTCCTCACAGGAGAGGAGCTCCATCCCTGTGATCATTTTTGTGGACCTCCTCTGGACTCTCTCCAGCAGGTCAATATCTTTCCTGTACTGAGGTCTCCAGAGCTGGATGCGCTGATACAGCCCAAGATATGATTGTCCTTGTGGGATGCAAGCACACATTGACAGCTCATATCCAATCTTTCATCCAGCATCCCCAAGTACTTTTTCTCTGGGGTACTCTCAATCCCTTCATTCCCCAGCCTGCACTGATGCTAGGGGTTGCCCCAGCCGAGGTGCATGACCTTGCAGTTGGCCTTGTTGAAACCTCATAAGGTTCTCTTGGGCCCACCCCATGAGCTTGTCTGAGTCACTCTGGATGGCATGTATGTGGCAACTACATGTATTGTAACATCTTCTAAAACATCACCTTTTGCTTTGCTTGCCCCAGAGAGCAAAGAGCTTGGTATAACATGTAAATGACAGGTTACATATGATTTAAGCATATACACAGCTGAGCATGTGAGATAAAAACATCTACTTAGTAAGTGATTTATGTTTCAAGACATATTTAGGTTTTGCAAGGAGAAATGAGAAGGCTCCCCAGAAAACATGCAATTGTGTTATTTTTGTAATAAATTCTTAATTCATTTTTTTTCCCCAGAGAGAATTCAGAACCTTGCAGGACTGTTTGTGGGTCAGAAATGGCCTCTTAATGGGCAAGCCGACCAAATAACATACTAGCCATGAGGGCAGCTGCCACTCCCAGCTATTCACCTCTTTGGTA